TCATCTCTAGAAAGATTTTGAGATTTTTCTTTACAAATATTAAAATGTAACACACTCATATTGAATACAGATATAGTTAAAATTGCTTAACTATTCTCTGTGTGTGTGTGTGTGTGTGTGTGTGTACCATCAAATCAGATCTGACTGGTACAGGAGGAGATTGTTCCTCCTTCCCCAGGAGAGCATCTGGTGGATTCAAACCATGCACCTTTGAGATTGCAGTGCAACTTCTTGCCCCTAGGCCACCAGAGCTCGCCTTAACTATTCTTGTTTGTCAAATTTGATGTGTGTGTCAGTTCTGAGTTAGTTTTGATTGGTTAATTGTTATCCTCAATATGTGTAATCACAGGACAGCGTAGAGGCAATGTCAAAAATCCTGTCTAACTTCACAAAAGGGAAAGAGACTCATTATCAGTATCAGTAGCCTGGGACTGATTCCTATGAAGAGGTCACCTTTTAATCAATTCTGACACCAGCATTCCCTCCCAGGATATTCAGCTTTTCTGTTAGGTTTGATAATTTGTTGAACTGCCCACATAGAACTCGCAGGTAATGTTGTTTTTGTTGTTGTTATGTGCCATAGAGTCGCTTGCGACTCATAACAACCCTATGTACAAGAGCTCTAAACTCTGTTCTATTCTGTGCCAACCTAACCATCTCAAACGTACTCATTCCCACCACTCCAGTCACAGAATCGATCCATCTCATCAAAGGTCTTCCTCTCCTTCGCCGCCCCTCCACTCTGCCAAACGTGATGTCCCTCTCCAAGGACCAGTCCCTCCTCGCAACATACCCAGAGTATGTCAGATGAAGTTTCAGAATCCTTGACTCCAAGGAGCATTCTGGCTTCACCCTCTCCAGGACAAACCTGTTTGTTCTCCTAGCAGTCCACGATATATTCAACACTCTTCTCCAGCACCACAGCTCAAAGGCATCAATTCTCTATCATCCCTATTCACTGTCCAACTCTCTGATGCATAGCACATAATTGCGAAGACTATAGCCTGGATTAGGCGCAATTTAGTCTCCAGCCTGACGTTGTTGCACTTCAGTACTCTTGGTAGGTCCCTCACAGCTGACTTTCCCAATGCAATTTGTCTCTTGATTTCCTGGCTGCTGTTACCAAGATTGTTGACTGTAGAGCCAAGTAAACTATTAACTGTCTCAATCTCCTCACTATCCATACTGATGCTACCAGTTGGCCCAGTGGTGAGAATCTTTGTTTTCTTGATGTTGACCTTCAGTCCATATAGGAGGGAGGCTGCAATCCTTGATCTTCTGTAGCAAGCGCTTCAGGTCCTCCTCAGTTTCAGCAAGCAGGGTTGTGTCATCTGCATAATGCAGGTTGTTGACGATTCTTCCACCAATCCTGATGCCACATTCCTCCTCGTACAGCCCAGTGTCTTGGATCTGTTCTGCATACAGATTGAAAAGGTATGGAGACAGAATACATCCCTGAAGCACCGCCTTCTTGATTTTGAACCACGTAGTGTCTCCTTGCTCTGTTCTGACGACTGCCTCTTGGTCTAAGTATAGGTTTTGCATTAGCACAATCAAATGTTCTGGGATTCCCATTCTTTGCAGAGTTCACAGATAATACTCATGATTATTATTAGTGAGAAACAGGTGATAGCCAGGATCTGGAATGACCCTGGTTCTTCAGTCAGGAGAGCTTCTTGGCTGTGCGCACAGACAGGCTTCTCCTTGCTGTGTGGCTTCCTGTTCCTCAGGCCCTTGGCCCCTCAATAGCCTTGCACTGGCCTGGCCCCTGCCCTGTTCAGGTAAGTGTTAGCAAAAGTTAAGGGTATCCTTACCAAACTAAGAAGTGATTAAATTGTTTGTGTCATATTTTTCTAGCGGGCTGTCTGCTCTGCCTCTGCTGCCAGCATTTCTGGGTCACTTGTACCTGTCTTGTGCCTTTGCCAGTGCTGCATCTCTCTCTCTCTCTCTCCAGGAGGTTCTCGATGCGGGGATCCCAGGCCCCAGTATGTGTCCTCCTGTCTCTTTCTTCTTCGGGGTAGCAAGTTTCTACCTGTGGGATGGCTCATTTTGAGGCCGATAGGATGGCAGAACTGACCAATGGTTTCCTTAGAGTTTCATACAAGAGGAAGCAGTCCCTGGCAAAGTACTTGTGCTTGGGAAAATGGGCGGGGGCCGGGGGGCAGTGAGGAAGACCCTTGCTGAGATGGATTGATGCAGTGACTGCAGCAGGGGGTTAAGTGTAGCAGAGATTGTAGCGTGAGGACAGGATGGTGGGAGATGAGGCAGGGCTTTGTTCTTTTGCATAGAGTTGCTATGACTTGGAGCCAACTTGACATTACATTATAACAATGTCCCATATTTGAATAGTCTCACCTCCACAGGGTTTTAAACAGCTTATTTGCATTGTTGTTGTTTTTTTTTTAATGTTGGCTATTTTAGAATGTTTATATTACCTAAATATTCATGAATTTTGTTTAGCAAGACAGTTACTTAGAAAGCTTTTGTCCGTTTAGGTCTTGTTTTTAAGATTTCTTAGAAGAGAACAGAGTTTTATTTAGTCTAACATTGTGTCCCACTTGGGTGGCAAGTCCTGTCTGTGTATTCTTCCCAGAGCCCCGTGAATGGCGAGGTTTCCCAGTTGAGCGTGTGGCAGCAGGCCCTCTTTCTGACTTTCTGTGGGTGTTGGGTGCTGCTCTCTCAGATCCTTTGGTGTAATTCTTGCCCGTCTTCGGCAGTGTGTTTACTTACACGGACGTGCTGTCCAGTTCTCTGCTAGAACTCAAGGGGAGGTGGTGCCTGTTGAAGACTTCTGAAGCTCTCTGTACAATGCCCCCTTATCGCACATCTGTCCATGTAGCTATAGTTTACTGGAACCTCTTGAACTCTTAGCTCTATCTTCTCAACTCAGGAATTCTCCCAGCTCTACTTGAGTTCTGCCTCTTCGAGCCTTTGGCTGAGAATTCCTTCAGGTCCATAAACTGGACCAACTATAGGTGTTACCTCTTTATTTTCTCTTTCTCAGTGATCATTGTCCAGTGATGTCTTTCTTGTCTTGTGTCCTTAAATTATTAGTATTCTGTGTAATTTTTATTTGTTACAGGAGGAACAGCTGATCTGGGTCCTGTTACTCCAACTTGGCCAGAAACAGAATTCCCAGAGAATTTGAGTCACTGAATGCATCTCAAAGAATATTTGTTGTTGTTATTGTTGATTGCTATCAAGTGGAGCATGATTCATAGCAACTCTGTGAACAAAAGACCTGAAGCCCCTCTACACCTGTAGACATTTATCAAAGTTCATATATGCTATTTAGGAAGTGGATGCCACTCCTGTGCATACACAGGGAAGCTCCTTTACTTCTTCGCACTCTAAGCCAGTTGGTCATTTGCCCTCTGATGAAATGCTGTTGGCATGGCAGATCTCACTATAGATGTGATAATCCCCAGTTAGATAGGGAGGCTGCTTGAGGGCAGGCACTGAGGTTGCCTGAGGACAGGGGCTGTGCAGGGCTCATTTGTATTCCTTGCCCAGTTTATGTTAGAGAGTCTGGCAATTGGTGTGTTGGTAAGAGGTGGAGGGCAGTTGCCTTTGCTCTCGAGGTGATTAGTGGAGATTGCTAAATAGACGTGAAGACTGTTTGGAAGCCTTCCTTTACCTGAGCATTCAGATAGGACCCACCTTGTGCCTCCAAAGAGAGAGGAAAGCCCCTTTAAAAAATTATTATTATTATTAATTTTAATGAAACTTTACAGAGACTTTGGATTTCTATTCATTCATTGTTGCACTTTTTTCCCTGCCCTCCCCTCCCCACAGTACACTCTTGTCTTTGAACAGTAAAAGAAAAATTATTTCATTCTTATATAGTCTCTCCCCTTAGGTCCACTCCACTATTCCTCCTTCATTCTGTACTCCTGTCATGAAAATAATACCTAACCACATATCCCTTTTAAACAGTTTTCTCCCTCATCTGTTTCAATGCAGTATACATTATTGAACCCATCTTTCTCAGTCTCTCCCCAACCCCGATGTTAGTCCTATTTTACAACAGTGGCACCATGCAGTATTTGTCCTTTTGTGACTGAGATATTTCACTCAGCATAATGTCCTCCAGGGTCACCCATTTTGAATAATATTGCATGAGTTCCTTGCTTTTCAATGCAGCGTAGTATTCCATTGTCTGAATATACCACAGCTTCTCAATCTGTTCATTTGTTGATGGGCACTTAAGTTGTTTCCAACTCCTTGCTGTTGTGAACAAAGCTGTGATAAACATAGGTGTGCATATACAGTCTCTTTGGGGTAGAAAGCCCTTTTCTTCTTGCTCCTGCTGCTGCCTCTGTTCTGTTGAGTGCACCTTCTTACCATCTCAAGGGCAGCAGCTCACGGGCAGCAGACAGGATCTTAGCACCCAGCTGTCAGAAAGGGCACCTCAAGAAGGACCTACTGTGTGGCCCAGGCCAGTCAGGCAGCTCATATCAGCATTACCAGAGGCATCAGGGTGGGAAGTTAGGCCTGCTCTGGGCTACTACCTGAAAGACCTTGCTCCAGACTGCTCCACTCTTTACTAAGCTGTGTGCCGTTGGCATTACGCCGAACTTCTCTGCCTCAGCAACTGCTCATCTCACAGAGCTTATTGCAATGTGTGCTTTGCCAAAATCAGTGTCTATAAAGCTGTTATTATTTTTGAGATATTATTATCAAACATAGATTAAACTGTTTGCATCATATTTTTCTAGCTGGATGTCTATGCTGGGATGCTTTTGGATATAATCCAGACAAGAAGCAGTAGGTTCTAAGTGAAGCTGTCTATCTGTCCACTTACTTGACACTTTTCGATCTCATACTCTATAAGTGCCTTATTCATGACCTAGGTAATGGTGGATCCCCCTTGGCTAGTTTAATGAAAAGGTATCTTTTCTCCATATAGGGGATTGCTTCATGTTTGAAGAGAACGGTAACTATTTGAAGTTTATTTGTTTTGAAGTCAGATGTGATTGTGACCCTGCTGACATGCTTTGGTTGCAGAGGAAAGTGGTCATGTGTGGCCCGTGGAGCAGCCGGCTCGCTCGCTGCAGGCAGAGGTGGTGCACGGAAGTGAGGAGCTGAGCCAGGACGTGCCAGCAGACAAGGCCGGTGCTGCGCTGGGACTGGACAGCAGGGACGATGATCACATGGTGATGCTGTCTGTGATCCCGGGCGAAGCCGAGGATGCACTGAGTCCAGAGACCAGCAGCGGCACCTGCGGGGCTAGAGGCGAGGAGGACTCAAAATGCAAACTCAGAGAGAGCCTCTTTTCTGTGGACAGTGCCGTAGCAAACTTCCCAGACAAAGACGAAGAGTATTACTCAGAGCCAGAAGTGGCAGAGTCTGAACACGCCCCGACAGAGGAGTCCAACAACACTGAGAGTCAGAAATCCCCGAAGGTGAACTGTGAGGAGAGAAATGTGACAGGATTGGAAAATTTTACCCTGAAGATTTTAAATATGTCACAGGTAAGGAAACACTCCATTTAGTGCATTTCTCCTTTGTAGTATATATGTTTAGTATTTCATTCATTCGCAACTCTTAATACCTTTGAATTGTGGTGTTGGAGAACTGAGTACTGAACCTCCCGTGGACTTTCTCCAAAAGAATAAACAGGTATGTCTTGGAGAAGGCATAGCCAGACTGCTCCTTGGAGGCAAAGATGATGAAGCTTCGTCTCACATACTTTGGGCTTATTGCTAAGAGAGACTCTTCCTTGGAGAGGGACATCATGGTTGGAAAGGTAGAGTGTTGGTCAAAGAGAGGAAGGCCCTTAACCAGGTTGATTGACACAGTGAGTGCAGCAGTGGGCTCGAGTGTGTCAGCTCAGCGATTGTGAAGTTGGCACAGGATAAGGCAGGGTTCAGATAAGGCATAGGGTCACTATGAGTCGTACTTGACTGGCATCAAAGAACAACTTTATTATTTTTTTATTTTTAGAGCAACAACTTTTAAATGCAATCTTCACTGAACTGTGAGTGAAATAGCATTTAGTGGTTACCTCAGTGAAAACTACCCTTGCTCCTCATGTTTATTGGGAAAGGAGCAAAGATAACTAGTATCGATTGTGCTTTTAAGGTGGCCTAACACTGGTCATCCTCAGGGTAATCTTACCACTGACCAGCCTCATGATAAAAATCCCGATGGACAGAATGGTGTTTGGTGTTAGAATCTCAGCTTTTCTCTACTTCATAATGAAGTACTTATTACAGATGCACCTCCAGAATATCCGAACTACCAAACCTGCAGTTTCGAACCTATGAGAAATTTTATTGATGAAAAGTAGTGGGATACCTGGTGATCCAAAGAAACTGCTAGGATAATGGGAAATTTCTGTAGGATTGTAAAGCCAGAAGGGGGGGGGGGCTAAATTCCAGGCTGCTTATATAACCCTTGATATGAAAGCCATGGTTCCTCATTTTAAGTGCGAATATGGTCTTTGCAATTACGTATTATGCATCAGAAAGCTGGGCAGTGACTAGGGATGATAGAAGGAGAATTGATGCCTTTGAGTTGTGGTGCTGGAGAAGAGTACTGAATATACACCATGGACTGCTAGGAGAACAAACAAGTTTGTTCTGGAGAGGGTGAAGCCAGGCTGTTCCTTGGAGGCAAGGATTCTGAAGCTCCATCTAACATACTTTGGGCATGTTGCAAGGAGGGACTAGTCCTTGGAGAGGGACATCATGCCTGCGTGGGTGGAGGGACAAGACTATTGATGAGATGGATTGATTCAGTGACTGAGGTAATGTATTGTTGACCAAGGGTAAAGTATATTAATAAGTATTAATAATGAGACAGAACACCAAGAATGTATAAGTAAACAGAGGTAAAGCAGGTAAGCACAGTTTCCCTGTACCTTTATTGAAAATTGCCAGGGATCAAATCACAAAGAGAATTCTGTGCAAATGAAGCTAAGCTCTTTCTATTGAAAACCTTACGCTTGACTCATGATTCTTGTATTCTATACAAGAATAGTATAAATGCTTAAGGTTTGCCTTTGTGTCTGCCCCTGTGACACCTAAGGTCTGCCTTGGTGCTTCAGGGTGAATTGCAGCTTGTATCAGTGCCTCCCTCATATCCTGATATAGCATTTGGTTTATTATAAATATTTAGTATGAAACTTGGCTTCCCACAGGAATGGAGGTAGGTGTGACAGAGACAATAAGGTTGGCTCGGTATAGAGCAGAGTTCAGAGCTGCTATACATAGGGTCACTTAGGAGTCACAAGCGACTTGACAGCATGTAATAACAGTGGTGTATTTATATGCTCATGGCTGCCCTCACATCCTTCTCCCATGGCTGGTAGACACTCTGTCTCAGCTCTGCAGGATTGTTCGACTGATGTCACCACAGCAACCAAGAGAGAGCAGTGTCAACAGCCAGAATTAGAGTCGTGACAGGGATGGTGCTCCATGCCACATATATTGATCCAGTTGCTTACTTCAAGAGATGCCAGTATGCTGAGATGACAGCTTATGTCTGAGATCCTAGTCCCATGGGATTGAGTTAAACACACGCTTCAGAAGCTGGAGCCTGTACCCTGTGAGTGCTTAGTATTTGAACTATGAAAATTATGTGAATTTTGAAAACCATTAAAATTGTTGTCATTAGGTGCTGTCAAGTCAAATCCAATCCATAGCAACTGTACAGCTTTGAGCCCTGTCTTATCCTATGACATCCTCATAATCTCTGAAAATGACTACAGAGCTATCAAAATAGTTGTTGTCAACTAATTACTATCGAACTGTTTTGATAGTATTGTAGTAATATTAGGAAAGCTCAGGAAGGTTTAGATGTACCAGATGCTTCACTGGAGAAGGAGGCACAATCTCCTCCTGTGCCAGTCAGATCCCATTTGATGGTATACAACAAGAAAAAAAGAAAAAAAGATTTAGAGCATACCTTTTGTAGGACTTTTCTGCTGATTGATAGATTCATATGTTTCAAGATTCCAGAAATCCTCAAGTGTACATACTATTATCTCCCTTCTATGTCTGCCCCTTCCCATCAGTTCCCTTCCCTGGAGGTAGTAGTGTTACTATTGGGTCCCCTTCTAGAAAAATGTACATGCCCGTTTAATGCTGACTTTAACACTTGTCTCTTTCATCACAGGACCTTATGGATTTTCTAAACCCAAACGGTAGTGACTGCACACTGGTCCTGTTTTACACGCCGTGGTGTCGATTTTCTGCCAGCCTAGCTCCTCATTTCAATTCTTTGCCCCGGGCATTTCCTAGCCTTTATTTTTTGGCACTGGATGCATCTCAGCACAGCAGGTATCTTACTTTAGTTGGTCTTAATCCTTATCTCTTTGGATGATGGTTGTGGCTGTCTGGAGATCAGAGCTAATTAAGAGGCAGAGGCAGTAGACATGCGCTTCCAAAGTGGATTGAAGGTGTGGGCCATTGAAGGGGCTGATGGAGTAATTTTCTGGAAGCCTCTAAAAGAGAGTGGACTATCCTCTGTTATTGTTGGAAGTGTGGAGGGTTGGCGAAGGAGAGGAAGACCTCAACCAGGTGGATTGATATAGTGACTGCTGCAGTGGGCTCTTGTGTGTCAGGAAGTGTGAGGATGGCGCAGGATAGAACAGGGTTCAGATCTTTTGTTCATAGGGTCACTGTGGGTCATACTCGACTTGGTGGCACCTAATAACAATAATGGCAACAACTGTCAAGGTAGAACTGACACATAGCTGACATTCCAGCAAGTTTTCAGAGGCAGTAAGTCACAGAGGAGGAGATTGCCCATCTTTCTTCTGCAGAGCAGCTGATGGATTCGAACTATGTGCCTTCAGGTTGGCAGCACAGCTCCTTGCCACTAGGCCACCAGAGCTCGTTCTCTGTATAGTGGAAGGTTAGAGGTAGCTCTGCCTATGGTAAATGAGTGACCAAAGTATGTGTTTGGCACAAGTTATGTCACATATGGGACATTCTCTTCTTATTTAACCTGCGATGTAGATCCCTACCTTGGTACCTCATCTCCCTCCAACCCTGTTCTAGGTCTTCTAAGGATTTCTTTTTATCTTCTTGTGTCCTTTCCTTCACTTTTCTTCCCCCTCTTCCTTGTTTCTTTCTTGTGACTTGTGTTTATTTATGTATGCATGCCCCTTAACAGGCACTTAAATTAATTTAGCCCTTGAAAATTACACTTTACCTTTTTTATGTTTATTTTTTGTTTATTTATTGTTCAGTGAGCGTTTGGGGTTTATTTTCCTTTTTTGGGGGGTATTTCCTTTCTATTTAAAATTTTGTGTTGTGATTTGGGTGAAAGTTTACAGAGCAAGTTGGTTTTCCATTGAAAACTTGTACACATTTGTTTCCTAACATTGATTGCGATCCACCTAACCTAACCTAACCTAACCTAACCTAAAACATAACAGCACTCGTTCCACCTTGTCCTTGTATTTGTTGTTTTCATTTGTCCCCTCTGGGCTCTGCTAGCTATATTTTCACAGAGACCTATATCTGCAACATGTAAGTACAAGTGTAGAGTATCCTCTGTCAATATATATTCACAGGTTAAGGCCTACTCACCTTCCCAAACTTGTACAACTTGTATATTTAATTAGATATCTATTTATAAATTATTGTCACTATGGATATTGTAGGAAGCTTTGGTAGCCTAGTAGGTAAAGAGTTGCTTTGCTAACTCAAAGGCATATTGTTCAAGTCCTCCAGCTTCTCTGTGGGAGAAAGGTGGGCAATCTTCTGTGTGATTTAAAGCCCATGAAAACCCTCTAGAGGGTTAGCTGTAAGTAGGTTCCAACTCTATGTTGTTAAGACCAACAGCAACTGTTGTTGTAGGTTTATGTAATAGTATATATCTTTATTGCCTTTCACTCTGTGTTTTTCCTGGTATCTTCATAATTTTGTGCTAACCTTCCCCTTATTGTATATATGTCTCCCCTCTGTTGTTTTGTGCCATTGAGCTGAAACCGACCATAGCTGACCTTCCCGTGGGTTTTCAGAAGCTGTAAATCACACCAGAGGAGACGGCTCAACTTTCTCCCTTGGAGCAGTTGGTGGAGTTGAACTGCATGCCTTTGAGTTGGCAGTGTAACTTCCTCTCCATTAGGCCATGTGAGCTTCCTGCCTCCCTTCTAGTTAGTGATGTTCCTCATGCATGGTTACCTTCAAATAATTTCTTCTGTGTATAAACCTTTTCTAGTAACTTTTGCCTTCTTAGAGTGTCAGTAAACTAAAAAAACAGCTTTCCCAGGTGTTCTAGATTTCCCTTTAGGAGGGCTGTGAGCGGTTCTAGGCTTTCAGCTGTGTGCTCCCCACCTCCTCTGATTTAAGGACACTCCTTAGCAGGTCACAAGGAAGTTATGTGTGAACAGATTTGAAATGCCTGGAAGATGATTAGGTTGGTGATAAAATAATTTGAAAATAGTTAAGGTTGAAAGAAGTTTATTAATTCACACTCCACTGATTTTCAGGGTGGGCAGTGTTATTGTCAACATTTACTTCAGACTGTTGATGAAAAAAGATATGGCACAACAAATTAATAATTCTCTTTAGAGCTTCAGGGGAATGTCTGAGCTTTTCATGGTCACCAACTAATCAGGAAGGATAGCCAGGGCCGCATGTCCAGCTTGGACTGAGCTCACCACCATCCCTGAGCCAGCTGACGGACTCCAGCTCTCGTTCAGCCCTCTCTCTGGTTTGGAGACCAGTACTGTCCACTCACCCCTGCTGCTTTTTTATCTGCTCTGCTCCTTCTTTCCTTCATATGTAGGTATCCCTCCAAGTGTCTCACTTATGTAGACTTGTTCCTGTTATATGGACTGGGACATTGTGTTCCCCTCATGTGCTCATTCTAGGTTAGAGCATGTTTCCAAATTGAAAACAAAAAATGCCAGTATTAATTACCATTTTATTCATGGGGGCAGCTGAGGCTGCAAAAAACCAAAAGCCCAAACCTGCTACCATTGAGTCAATTCTGAATCACAGACATGATCTCAGAGTAGAACGTCCCCAAAGGGCTTCTAAGGCTGTAAATCTTTACAGAAGTAGTCTGTCTCATCTTTCTCTTGTAGAGGCTGGTGGATTTGAACAGCCACTTTTTCATTGACAAGTACTTTAACTACTGTGCCACTACGGTTTGCTGTTGTTCGTTTGCTTTCTTGCTGCTGCCTCTCCAGTGAGTTTTCAGAAGCCATAAACTGTATAGGAGGAGATTGCCCATTTTCTCCCTGTGAGCAACTGGTGGTTTCAAATTGCCTGCCTTTAGGTTGGCTGCATAATTCCTTACCCACTAGGTTACCAGAGCTTCCCTAATTAAGGCTCGGGGAGGTAATTAACCTCCCTAAATTATTAGAATAGAGGCTTGAACCCAGGCTGCTTTATATCATAAAAAGATAAAACCAATCTACAGATGACTACTGAATTGCTTCCCTTAACTGTGAACTTCTTGGCATGATGGTAGATCATGTATTCTCTTGTGCTTACCATAACTTACTCTCATAAGAGATAGAAATGGGCTTTCTGAGGAGTTTAAATTTATTTTGTCAAATAAATTACACAGTGTGTTTCTTTCATGTTTATGGTTGTTATTGTTGTGTGACATTGAGTTGGAACTGACCCATAGCTGACCCTCCACTGGGTTTTCATAGACAGCACATTGGATGGGAAGAGATTGCCCGTTCTTCTCCCACGGAACAGCTGGTGGATTTGAACTGTGTGCCTTTGGGTTGGCAGTGCAGCTTCTCAACACTAGGCTACCAGAACTCCTTGTAATTGATATAGTTCCACAGAAAACAGCAGGAGTGCAGAACAGGAATGACCCAAACCATGACCTATTTGGGGAAAAAGGAAAAACAAACTAAAAGCCGTAAGTCTGAATATCACAACACTTTTTAGGTCACAAAAACGAATCTTTTCTCATTTATTTTTATCCATTCTGATAAAGTGATTATCTTGAGAAAGCTCACCCAGCCTAATTTTCCTGATGGATTTCTTTTTATTGCAGCCTTTCTACCAGATTTGGCACTGTAGCTGTTCCAAATATTTTGTTATTTCAAGGAGCTAAACCAATGGCTAGATTTAACCATACAGAACGAACATTGGAAACTCTAAAAATCTTCATTTTTAATCAGACAGGTATGTAGAAATAAAACCATACAGAAGACAATACTTCATTGTTGAGTGTATATGCTATCTATAGGCTTTAATCTGCTATAATTTATATCCTATGTGGGGTTCAAGATTGACTCTGTAAACTTTTTCCCACCCTAATAAACTATTTTCTGTTATATAAACTACTTCCTGTTAAGTATCTCCCAATGAATAGCAAACTTAACATGAATAAGTAATTCTGTTGAGAAACTTTTTGTAAAGATATGCTTTATTGATACCTGTCTATCAATTATATCAGTGTATCATTGGGATCTGCTTTGGTGGTGTCATGTGCTGTTGAGTTAGAACTGATTCATAGCTGACTCTCCAGGGTTTTTCAAAGACTATAAATCACATGGGAGATTTTCCATCTTTCTCTCATGGAGCAGCTGATGAATTTAAACCTACTGCCTTTGGATTGGAGCACAACTCATTTATTGATACCTAGTTTGAAATATCTATATATCTAAATAAAATGATATACATAAAATTGACATACCATATTCACCTGCACATAACTTTAATAATTACTTTTAAACATATTTAAATAAAATAATATATCCCCAAATCTTTATGTACAGCATGAGGAGTTTTCACAAGGTGAAAAGCCTGGATAACCTATATTCAGATGAAGAGACAGAACATTCTTACCCCTGTTTAGCGCTTCCTCTCCCCCAGAGATAATCAAAGTCTTGACACCTAATGCCATTGTCTCGGGTTGCCTGTTTATGAACTGTATATTTATGGGGAAATGATGGTATATATTCTTGTTGTTTGACACATTTCACCCAACAATATACAATTTATTTGTATGTGATTTATTGATTTCATTTTGTTGCTGTCTAGGGCTCTATTTATTAATCCATCTATTTATAGATGCCATTATAGTTCCTTAACATTTGCCAAAACCTATGTGCCCTTTTCATGAAAGTTTGAGCATTGTAAATTGAAGACATTTCTTTTGTTGGAAAAGTTCCTGGAAACTTTAGAACCTAAAATGTAAGCATGCCACTTCTTCCTGAAGTGCATTCACTGTAAATAGTTATAGATTATCACACACCTTCCATATATATTAATTGTGTAATTATTTATATCTAATACTAAAGAAGGTAGAACTTCTACTCGGGGTGGAAGGCTTGTTATGAAGAGTTTGGATATCCCAAGTCTTTTTTAAAAAATTGTATTATTTTTATGTGTACTGTCAAATCAGATCTGACTGGTACAGGAGGAGATTGCCCCCTCCTTCTCCAGCAGAGCATTTGGTGGATTTGAACCACGTACCTCTGGGATTGCAGTGCAGCATCTTGCCACTAGGCCACCAGAGCTCCAGATATCCCAAGTCTTGTCCTGAATTATTGTATTGTAGGTCCCTGCTTGCCATCTAGATTGATGTAGAGAGAGGGAGCAGTTTCTCAGGGCTCTAGGATATGAATTCAAGAACTTCAGCATCTTTGGTATCACTAGTTCCAGTGCAATGCTTCAGTTCTTTCAGTAAATTATTTAAAAAACTTTTTACCGCCCCAGAACAATTTAGCATTGTTTAACTTGTGGAACCATTTTATAGAGTCCTCAGAGGAGCTTTTCTAGTTACTTATTGAACTTTGGTCTCGATACAAAAGATAGTTCTTGCAATGCACTGGTTAGGAAGCCTCTGAGGAGTTCGCAGATATTCAAGTTCTTGCTTTGAACAGCTGAATGGATTCCTTCTTTGATGTGGTGGGGAGAAAAGCAAGTTGCAAATTACACTGACAGGCAAGTGAAATCCATCCCAGATACCCTAACAGTGGTGTTCATATTAAGACTGCGTATCATTTTGCATACCATGCATACTATTTCAGAAAAATCTGCAGCAGGTGCTTTTTTTGATGTGAAACAACTGATTTCTCTTTCAGGTATAGAAGCCAAGAAAAATGTGGTGGTAACTCAAGCTGACCAAATGGGCCCTCTTCCCAGCACACTGATAAAAACTGTGGACTGGTTGCTTGTATTTTCCTTATTTTTTTTAATCAGTTTTATTATGTATGCTACCATTCGAACTGAGAGCATTCGGTGGTTGATTCCAGGACAAGAGCAAGAACACGTAGAGTAGTGATGGACTGAAAGCGAAAGTGGGAAAGGCAAATAGCAGTCTTTCATTTCAGAAATTAATGCTGCGATTTCATCCATTTTCTTCAGTAAAGTATTGACTTGTAACATTGTTCAAATTAAACAGAATCATGTATTTGTTGAACTACTGAATATGTAAAAAATATAAATGGGTGTATTAACTAGTATTGTAATAAGCAAATACAGAAGACAAATTCAGTGGAATTCACTATTCTGGTTCTTATTACTTGAATTTAATACAGTAATTTAAGGGAGGTAATCCAGTTTAAAATGTGAAGACACATTCTGTGGAATAATGAATACTATGAAAATATTGTTTACGATATAGGAAAAAAATAGGACTTTAAGTTTATAGTTTTAGAAAAGACTTGATTCTCTATGTGCCCAAGAAGGTTGTTTTGTCTGTTCTTTTGCAATTTCTTTTTGAGTCTGTAAGTAGGAAATTGTTGTGATAAGACGAGATACTAGAATTGACAGGTGTGACCTCACAAGTGGCAACTGCTGGTTGCTATCTTTATATGATGGAAAATAAAAGATTCCAATGTCTTTGCTATTTGTGGTCTCTAATTTTATAGTAAGAACTGAAAAATGTTTCTGGGTAAGGTTGATGCTTGGACAAAGTGTATGTTATCCTAACTAACAGATTAATTCTGCAGTGGAACTTAAATTTTAGTCAGAGCTAAACAGCTGTATGTAACTGCTGCAGTCTAACCAGTGTGCATCTGCTGAGCCCTAAAAGGTTAGCATTGTTTTCATGAAATCCAGAGAAGTAGAAAATATTGCTTGTGCCTGCAAGTTGATTCCAGTTTATTTCAGGGTACATTTTAGCAAAGAGATATCACCATTTACACAAACTTTTTGAAAAGCTGTTGTAAAAGATTCCTTAAATTCAGACAGAAGGCAGCTGATGTAATGATAAATTACCTTTGTACTAATTGTTTCCATTGTTTATAGGGTGGTTGAACATACTTTTCACAATGAAGCCCATTGCTATTGAGTTTTATTGTGGCTCATATTGACCCGTATAGGACGGAACAGAACTGCCCTCTGGGGTTCCTTCAAAGGCTGTAAAGATGTACAGGACGAGACTGCAGAGTGGCTGATAGAGTTGAACCACATATCTTTCTACCCTCCTTGCCTCTAAGGAGCACTCTGGTTGCAGCTTATACCAAGACATTTGTTTGTTTATTTGACAGGCCATGGTATATTCAGTTCTCATTGCTAACAGAATTCAAGGGCGTTTTCTTTGGTTTTCCTTATTCATTGTCCAACTTTCACATGCATATGAAGCAATTGAGAAGACCATGGATTGGCTCAGAAACACCTTAGATTTTAAAGTAACATCCTTGCTCCTTAATAATATCTATGAAATATTATTAAATATTATATTATTAATTTACTTGTGTTAAGAATTACACACTTTAAGGGGAGCTCTGGTGGCCTAGTGGCAAGAAGCTGCAACTACAGTCCCAGAGGTGCACGGTTTGAATCCACCAGATGCTCTGCCGGGGAAGGAGGGGCAATCTCCTCCTGTACCAGTCAGATCTGATTTGACGGTACACGCACACAAAAATAATAAAAT